ACACACACACACACACACACACACACACACACACACACACACACACAGTGTATAGATGCAATCTTACAGTATGAGCACCATCTCCTGCTGCAGAGTCTGCAGTGCACTGAGCAGTGCGGGCTGGATCTGACTGTAGTGGTGCTGATGGTAAACTTGAGCAGCTCGCACAGACAGCACATACTCGTTATGCAACTCGTGGAGTTTCATTGAAGCCTTTATATAACGCTCCTTCGCCTTGTCTCGCTCTTTACCTGTGCGCGCACGCACACACACACACACACACACACACACACACACACACACACACACACACACACACACACACACACACACACACACACACACAGGATAACACATTATGTCATGAAGGAAATCCACATTTCAGATTTGCACAGTAAAAGAAAAACCAAACTGTGCCATCAGTGTGAAACTGATTCTGCTCAGAGAGGAAAGTTACTGTATGTACACCTTTATTGGCCTCCTGGTACTTCCTCTTAGCCTGAGCTGCATCTCTCACTGCCTGTCTGTAGCTGCTCTTCAGCCTCTCCAGCTCTGTCTGGGTCACCTGAAGCAGCACACAGAAACACAGACAGGTGGAAAACATTTAGTGCAAGGCTGGGCTATATTCACAGAAGCTTTTGAATTTATGTGGTTAACAGCTGCCTCAATGAGTGTGAAGTGTCTGACACAGGAAGTGGACACCGAGTCTGAGATATTTCACTGCAGAGGAACAACAAACATGAGAGAAGAAGACACAGAAGGAAATGATCTGACCTTTGTTGAGCTGCCGGTGCAAAATCAGAGGTTTTTTTGTTTAGTCACAATCACGACATAAGATCTATCTATTGTGCCACACAGTTATTCACACAAAACCAAATTTGTTGTCTGCACAATAAAGTCAGAAAATTAAAATAAACAAACTGCCTGCCAGACGGCCAAACTGCAACCCAATATGGATCACTGGAAATGAGCACATCACTTCCCTGATGTAATTGGGTAATAAAAACTGTGTGGAGCAGCCAACAGTTTGAGATTGCATTAAAAACTGCATCTGCACACACTGTTTCCAGTCTATTGAACCTCATTTCATTCGACTGCTGTCTATTTATAATGCTGCGGCTGCAATGCTCATGTGCATGTCAAGATGACTCAAGAAAAATCAACAAATAGATTTTAAAACGACAACTTCCGCCAACACATAATAGTCATTTTATATGTTTGGACCAGGTAGTAAAAATGACGACACTGTCTTTGACATAACATGGAACTCTTGACACAATAAACTTAACGTGCTATTTCAAAAGTCCAACAGTAGTTGCAAAATAAAAGAAGCATTTCTTCTTAACAGCTGACATGCAAGATGATTTTTAAGTATATCATCCCTAAAAATGCAAAAGAATCCATGTATGAAATGTAACTAAGCAGTATTAGTTCACAGACCCCAGCTGTGCTTTCTTCATTTAAGAATATATGCAAGACATTATTGTTTAATTTGGCTTATTGTGTAGGGGTGTTGTCTGTCAAAAAAAAATCAAACAAACAGCAACAAGAATCAAAGTTCAATACCAAAAAAGTCAAAAGCTTAATTTCAGCAGTGACCAGTTTTATCACATGTGGACATCTGACTGTATAAATGTGGTTCACCTGCCTTTTGGTATGAAAGTAGTAATCTGTAAATAGTTGTATATTTGAGATTATGTGTGGGTAAGCGTGTTTTACTATAGTTGTGGGGACATGCCTTTTTTTGGGACACAATGGAAAGAATTGCACATACCCATTTTGTAAATCATTTTAGGGTTAAAACTTGATTTAAGGATAGGTAATCTAATGAAAAGTCATGAAAACAACTATATGTGTGTGTGTGTGTGTGTGTGTGTTCCTCACACACCTTGCTGAGCTCCTGCTTCAGCAGGTTCCACTGCTCTGCGTAGGTTTTGCGGAGCTGCTGTTTGTCTCTGATGAGCAGCGTCAGTTTGCTGATGGGACCATCCAGCAGATCCTCAGAGCGCTTCTTCATCACCTGACTGAGGAAGTCCGTCTGAGAAACCAGGACTCCCCATGACTGACAGACGGGGGGGGGGGGGGGAGGTCAGGGAGACAGGTCATTCAGTCCAGAGAACAACAGTCCTCCACACGTTCTATCCTCCGTTTGGATGTGGATTTGTTTGTTTGTTAATCTCAAAAATACTCAATAGATTTCAATACATTTTGATGAAAGTCAGACCATGGGCCAAAAACGAATTTGTGTCTTTTAACATGTATCGAGCCACCAAGTGTTTTTAAGAAATTCACCTAATATTTTTGGCTCATAACTCCTGGATTGTGAGGTGCAGAATTAAAATAATTTATTTATTTGTTGAACAAAACTCTTTTTCATCTCTTCTCTAATCAACGTGATCCAATCTTTGGTAGATATTTGGAGAACCTGCAGAAAAAGGGTTTTCTTTCCATATTGGCTTTCATAATGCTTCCTGCAAAAGGTTGCATTCAATTATTTGCAATATTTAAAGGAAGCATTGGGCGATTGCAAACAGCTTTCAAATCCATTCTGAGCAAATCAGAAAACTTTGACATTTCCCTAACAGGTAACATATCATACACACATTATACAGGTTGTATTGGACGTATTGGTCATGAGTCTGACATCCATGTAAATGTGAAGATTAGATGTATTGTAAATCCAAATAAATGCAAATAGAAAATAACCATCTTCTTGTGGTGGTATGCTCTTTCTAAGAGCTTCCTTATTTGGATAAAGAACATATATATTTAGAGCAATCTAAACTGAAGGGATCAGGGTTATTGGTACCTTTGCCTTCAGAAAATTCTCTTATATTTGTACCTCAAATAAATTAAGGAAAAAAAACTACTCATACAGATTTATTTTAGGATACTAAAATTGTGGCACACAATGCACTTTATTTTTTAATTCAATGCTCTGAATATTTAACACATTTGTGTTGACAACAAAAAAGCTAACTTCATTAGGGAAGTATTTGTTCCAATATGACCACATGCGAGTGCATAGTTCTGTGATGATCCGTTGATGATTAATGATCTACAAGACCTCACCTTGTTGAGCTGGCTGATGTAGTCCGGTCCTGCACCAGGCTGAGGCCGGTCCAGCTTCTCTACCATGGCCGCCATGTGGTGCAGCTGCACTGAAAACTCTCGTTCACTTTTAGCTCGATGACCAATCCACTTTTTCATGACCTCCATCAGGTGAAGCTCCGAGTCCAGCAACCGAATGACCGCTGCATGTGCCTGGGGGCATCGCAGGTCCTCTCCAAAGCTCATCTTCTGAATAGTTGAACTCTCCTCCCTGCCGAGTGTTTGTTGTCAGCAGTAAGTGTGTTCTCATGAGTGTGACAGAAAAAGATTGTAGAGCTGAAGCAGCTACTAATGACCAAGAGCAGTTTTGTCTCTGTGGCCTTCGGGGGCTTTCACTTCCCTGTGAAAAAAAAAACAAAAAGTACAGCGGTGCATGTGAGGCAGTACTTCCTCATATCTGTTTGAATGTGGTGGTGCATTTATTTGTAATTTTGCCTGCAATACAGAAACAACTTTAGTGGCACAGTAACACCCAAACCTGCCATTGTCAAATCAACAGTCAAATCAAATGCACAAAACAACACACAGACAGACAGACATCTTCAGCAATGCATGCATCAGAAGCATCGGATATGTTTAAGAATAGAATGTAACGATGGACACTTAAAGTACAGGAGTAAAGTACAATTTTGAGTTAATTTTACACAAGTATTTCTATTCTATGTTGCTTTATACTTATACTACACATTGCATTTCAGAGGCAAATATTGTACTTTTTACATCAGTACTTTTATTTTACAGCTGTAGTTACTTTGCTGATTCTGAGTTTGATGCACATTAAACTGGATAGCCTCAACCAAGTACAACAGTAAAACTATCTGTGCAACAGTAAGTTATTACAGTGATACATTACAACAGGAGATATACTGTTAACACTTTAAGTATATCTGGCTGTTAATGAGTAACGTTTTAAATGCATGACTTTTACTTGTACAACTATTTACTTTTAAATGATCAGAGTACTTCAACAATTGCATATTTGTATGTATTATAATCAAAGTGCTTTTAATAGTTTGATGTTATAAATGCCCACAGCAGGTGACCTGAAAGCCTGATGATAGGTACAGGTTTTTAAAATGTGGGGTGAAATAATTTAAATACCTCAATGCTGTTCAACTTTGAGCAACAACCAGTGTGTTGTGTTGGGTGTTATCTCTTCAAGTACACTGCTTATCGCTTTTAGACCCCAACCGACTGCTGATGGTGTTTGTTGCATGAAATAACAAAAATAACTTCTCATTTTCTTTTCCCCACAGTGTGACTCAGTCTCACTTCACTACTTGCATTTATGACTTGGTTGGTGTTGAATGCAGCCTCTCTGCTGTAACCTCGTTGGTATGATTACACCAGCCATACATCATCAAATACATTCATTATACAAAATGGGATGAAGACGGGACAGAGAAACACTGAACAATGCAGAGCAGCTCAGTCTGATCTTACAGACCGCAAAGGAAACGTCTGCTTTAATGCTTAGATGCAGCATCTACAAAGAGTCTAACATGCAGTTAGAGACAACAGTGTAGCAACAGTACTGGACAAGGTCTATTGTCACCATCACAGTTTACTAAATGTTGAAGAAAAACATTTTACTTAACTGAAGTTCCCGGGGTGGGAAGCTAGTAGCCTACATTTAGACTACGGTATTTGAATACACTTTTAAGGTATGCTATACTTGAGTATTTACATGTTCTGCAAATGCAGAGACAAGCTTAGCTTAGAAAAAGCTGTTGAGCTAACAGGATATTACAGTTTACACAGTGATGCATCAGTATAACATCCAATAATGTAATATCTGGTAATGAATCAGTCGCAGGGGCCAATTATGTGCAGAATTAGCCCATTTACTTTTGTAACAGAGTATTTATACATCTTTCTTCTGGTTCTCGAGTGAGTGATCTTAGTTCTTCACCAGCCGACACAAGTCACATTTACTTTTTGGAGCATTTCATTTAATAAAAACGCATTCAAATTTGCATAGATCTTTATTTTTTAGTAGAATCTATAATTGACATCAATTAAATAAAAGGAGAAAAACAAAAGTATCTTTAAATTACAAGAAAATTACACCACCATTCATATAGTACAAAAATAGGCCTTATTTTAGAGTTACGTCCCATGTAAGATAGTCATTCTTGTACATTATTCATAGGTCACAAACCTGTAAGGTACTGTGTGCAGCCAGGAACCTCACGAAGAGGCAGGAGGTGGTCAACAGAGCCGTCCGAGGCTGCTCCACTAAACAACCCCCCTCCCCCCCACCAAGTGTTTCATTTATACTTAAACAAGCATGTGCACGCACACAGATCTGATTGAGCCCTTAAATTAGTGGAGATGGGATACATTCTACCTCCTCCCTTCACAGCTGTTGAACATACAGGGTGTCAAAAAAAAAAAAAAAAAAAAGCCGAGCTGACAGAATGATGTCAACAAAGCACTTTGAACGTGAGTGAACGGGGTCAATGGACTGTGGCAACACGTCATAACACTAAACAGACAGCATTAAAATGATTGTCTTTGGTTATGCCAAAGATATTGCTCCTATTAAATCCATCCGTCTTCATACTGATCACGTCCGACTACATCCTAAAAGGAGGGACTAAAGCAACATCGAGCTCCACGTGAAATAAATCGGCTGTACGAAGAAAAAAGCCTCCATCACGTCCACCAGCGAGTCTTTTCTTTACAGCCACAGGAGATATTTTGTAACATTTCTGTTACTTTCCACATTAGAAGGCTTCACACTTTAGTGCCGGTGAAGTGGCAGCCTTACGATGATGAGCTGCTCACTGGCACAATTAGAGAGCCTTTTCTTTTCTTTTTTTAATGTGTAGTTTCCATCACATTCTTGCAGTGAAAGGAGTGAGCTGGCTGCTAATGGTGTACAGCAGCTCCCCGTGCTCTGGAAGCACGAGCTCCTTAATGCTGCCCGCATTCAGGATTTTCTTAAAAGTTGGAACACTTGAATGCTCAAAGCTCCGGGTTCATCAGTTTAAAGTTCTCTCAGTTTTCAAGCTGTAGCAAATAGAAGATCGAGCTAAGATGCATTAATCATTTTGTGTGCGCACTCGAGGGGCCACAGAAACCTGTCTGAACACTCCAGAATGTTGCACTTCAGGAGAAACTCTATTCTTTCTGGAAGCAATATAAATCTTTTGAAAGGGGAGCTGTAGCATGGATAATGTTAAGACTGTGCATCAATACTAATTGCATTGGTAAAAGTCTAACACTACAGTTCTTCTAAAGAAGCAAACTTTTAGCATCCAGAGTTTAACTAAATAGTTTATGGAAGCAATTTTGGTGCCGCATTAGCCCCATTATCTGTTGTTTACACACTTCACACCAAGCTGGGAAGTCAACAGGATTTCGTGGCTCAAGTCTGAGGCTGTAGTTATTACATTTCTAAATTAGCATCCTAGCAAACTTAATGGAAGCCTAAATGGCAGTCGGCACTAATGTACGTGACACAAAGCTATGCAGCGCACGCTCATTATTCTGCAGCCACACCCTTGTTCTTTTTGAGGGCACTTTGTCTAAATACGCGTTCTCGGGTTGGTTTCCAATCCCGTTTAGTGCTTCCTGGCTGAAACTGTGGCGATAAGCCAAATGTGCTACACCTGCACGAGCCATCTGAGATGAATTAAGCTTCCTGGCTCAGTGCCGTGTTTGAGAGCATACATACCAATCTTCTCCATCTTTTTGAACAGGATGTTGGATGGTAATGGTTTGGAAACCCTTTATTCTCATCTCTCTCTCTCTCTCTCTCTGAACAAGCTTTTGCAATTCAAATCACATTCAGCTGTGAATATTTATGAATAATACCCTCAGAGAAAGCTTTTGCAACAAAAGTGGTTGAATTAAAATTGATAAGTTTTGTGTGCTTGTGCACCTTCCTGCCCTCAAAACAAGGAAATGATTTGATTGTCAGCGACAAACTTATGAACAAAAAGGTCCTGATGGAGCTGCCCGGGGTAAAAAAGGCCGTAACAATTTCATGTTGATTTAGCTGTTAAACGCTGGCCCACAAGCTCTTTGGACATCCTTCTACCCATTCTATTTAAAGCCCAGGTGGGGCTGAACCTAAAGGCCATACATTTTGAGAGAGATGGTGTTTACACAGCAGGTTTACAGTTTCTGAATCACAATTGCTTGTCTCTCTTCTAAAACATAAATGTGACTAACATGCCTATCCTCCTGAATCCTTCCCAGCAAGCGTTGTCCTATCTGACCTACATATAATTTGACCTCTATAATCACTTAACAGAGCTCCTCGAGCGGCGTACGAAGCCTTGCTGAATGATACGAGAGGTAGATTTGAAAGAAAAGGATGAGCAGCGGCAGCTTTGTATGCATGTCATCAAAAGGACAACCTCTCTCAGCCAGTTCCACTGTTTTTGTACTGGAAATGAGAAAAAAATAAATCACAATTTCAACATAGTAGAAAAAGAGGATCAATGGATTCAAAATGGCGACACTGCATTAAATCATGAGATGCAAATTTTAGATGATAAGCAGCCAGAAAAAGAATCACTTTAAAACAATCTTCCCTAAAGGTATGATTAAAACCTCTCAGAATAAATAGGTGCTGCAGTATCATTCAGAATATCATTAACTGGCTGAAGTACGCTGAAGAGATAATCTGACATTCTGATTAGATGAAGACTGGAGGGTAAGAGCAGAGACACCGATGAGAAGTGGAGTCTCCAAGTAGGATTTCTAAACAACATTCAAGATTGGAGAGGAGAGCAGAGACTATGACGCAAAGGAGGAAAGGAAACGGTCACTTCAGAGGGCAGAGAGACATTTTTCATGAGCAGTAAACCAACTCTCACACACCCACCGACACACACGTTAACAACGTTTCAGTTATTATGATATGAGGTGTATCTGATGTACGTTTGTAGTGCTAATGTGCTCTGACAAAAGGGAAGGCCTTGATGTATTGTTAACTGTCTGCTCTGTCAAGGAATCAATCACAGGTAACTCAACACCTGCCAGCTGCTTTTGAGAAGCTCTTGTGCTCAACAGTCACGTATTGTTCTGGGTCCCATCAGCACGTCGGCTGCGTCTCTCTCAGCCCTGGGATGCGAGCACATCAAACACGGAAATTAAATGCCCCTGGAAGGTTTGAGTGAGTAGCCTGTGTGTGTGTGTGTGTGTGTGTGTATATATGTTGTTTTTTAGTTTCTTCTTTTCAATTTTCGTACTTTTTTGATACCCTTCCATGTGACGGTTGGGGAGAAGATGAGCGCAGGATCATTTAAAGTTTCCAAACCGAGATAAATTGAGTCCATCTTGAATCCCAAAAGTCTGGAAGAAGCTTTGTTAGTTGTGCGACTCAGTTTGTTCTGCCAGAGCTGAGAGAGACGTTTCCAGACTTGCTGTACAATAAGAGCCCCCCCACCTCCCCCACCTAGAACAACAACTACACAGATAAAAAAAAAAGAAAAAAAGAAGACTGTGTGGAAGATGGATTTTTGTTTATCTCATCATGAACAGAAACAAGCAGAGAGGCTCTCAGACAGTCTGTGTTGTTTATCTGACATGTGATCGTAAACTATTAAACTCTGGACATTTCCTTAACAACTATTATACTTTTGATTTGTGCACGTTTTAAACGCACTGTGCATCGCTACAGATAAGTGGTGCTTTTATGAACAGATTTTGGACGTTGATGTCACTAAACGACACTTCAGGGAGAATCAATGCTTCCAAATCCGATTTCATGCCTCGTAATACAATGTTTTGCAGTCACTTTTGAGTACTAAATGTGACAGGACCAGCTTTAGCTTCTCTATAAAGGGCAGTACACGGCCCATCAGATTTACACGCACACATTCAGACGCATACACACATCTCTACTCCTCACATACTACAATCTCGTCTGGCTACTGCACGGAAACTGATGGGAAGGGAGAAACAAAAGGAATGAAGCAAATAATAATCAATTGTTTACTGGAACAAAGAGGAACTGGAGGGGAAAATGGACACAGCACAGACGGACACTGTTAGTTATCGAGGGCAAGAGGAGGGAGAGAGCCAGTTTAATAGAGAGAAGTGCTCAAGTATGAACAGAGCAAAGCTCAGACCATCCCGAGCTCTGAGAGACAGCGGCTTCAGGTCTCCCACAGCAGATCCTCAGAGGAGAACCCAGTAAGAGACGGGGAAGAAGGGACGACAGATAAAACCAGAAAAAGACAGCATGAGGGTTGTTACCACAGCTCCGAATCATCAGACAAATGAGGGTGCGAAGACTTTAAAAGCAGGAGAGAGGGGGGGGGATGTGGGGGAGGCATTAAAGAGCACTTTGTGTTTTGATAAAGGCAGTCCTCTCATTTTGGACGGCAAACTCTTCGTTATCAGAGTCTGTATTTACCCCATCGTCCCCCCACACTGTCGGGATGCCGCGGTACGAGACCACCCTATTTCCCCCGAGGCTGAAACTGCCCCCGAGGCCGCCGCCGGCCTCCAGAGAGGGCAGCTTGATGAGAGCGCCGGAGCGCAGCTGCAGCACCAGGAAGGTGCCAGCAAAGGTGGCGATGATGGCCATGCAGCTGAGCACGGCGACGGTGATAGGCAGCCCGGAGCTGAGCTGGAGCTGCATCCCCGTGTTCCCCTGGCCCACCATGAAGCTGTCAGGGGACTCGCGCATGTACTGGTTGAGGTGCAGGCAGGTGCCGGAGATGGGGTCCAGGGAGCTGTGAGGGAGGCAGGACAGGCAGGCCCGGGGGCTGAGGCTGCTGCAGGTCAGGCAGGGCGGTGGGCAGGGCAGGCAGGCTGGGATGGAGGTCGGTGTTATAAAGTTTCCCACTGTGTAGTTGAGGAGCTGGGAGCCCACTGAGAAGCCTGGTGGACATTCTTTCACACAGCCCTGCTGAAAGAGGTAGTAGCCGGCGTCGCACTCTGTAACACAGAGAAACAAAACTGAAATAAAAAGCTGCATGCACGCGCACCTTGTACCGCCTCATATGAGTCAGACAACCAAAAAACAGAGAAGCAGGATTTCTTCCCAAACAGTCTTGACATTTCTATATTCATTCATCTTTGGGTTGTCTCGGTAAATGTGAGACAAAGTTTCAGGGTAATTTTGTTTTTAAGTTGCCATTTTCACTTTTGTTAGAGCTATTTTGCTTACTAAGAAAACTGATGACGAAAGAAGATTTGCAATTTATATGCTGAGAGCAGCATGTTAAAGTCAACAGAGGCATTTCCATATGCAGGCAGTCCAGATGCAGACCATTGCCTGCAATGGCAATTAACAGACTGGGTGCTGGGGGTAATAGAGCTGGAAACAGGAGGGAGAGCTAACAGGAGGAGGAAAATGTAATATACTTGTAAACTGTAGTTGTCATCCCGAACTCAGAAAGCATTGTTTACTACATGATACATGACAATCATAACATATGATAATCAAATGTATGATAATTAAACTGTTAGTATGTAGGTACCTCTGACAGCCTGTAGGGGTCAGACTGTCACTGCACAGACAACATGCAGGTGGACATACACAGTAGTATCTGTAGACCTTGCCTATGGCAGTATTTGGATTAGGTAGGAGATGGCCATATGGACACCATTTCATTTAAATGAGGTTATTAAAAAAGGACCTGCAGTCAAATTTCATTTCATCTCATCAGAAGTCAATCTCTGAACCCACCGGCTATCGGTCTGACGATGGATAAGCCTCTGGGGGCAAAAGGCTTTATTCTGGGGTTGCGGTGACCAAGACTTCCTTTTCTGTGCTGCTCATTGCTTACAGTCCGATTAGCAACATACAACACTGGAGTTTGATTTGAGATACGACGTGTACGACCAGATTGCTTCACATGCAGCCAGATTACAGGCTCATTTTACAGGTGGGTTCCCAGATTGCATTTGGGCCAACGCGTTCCGCCTCTTTTGCTCTCCACAAGGACCTGCATTCAACCAAAGCCTGCTTGATGGTGATTGGTCAATACTTACTCATATTACAAACAAAAACAATCTGTTGCAAAAACATCTCGTCCCGATGCCCACAGATTCTACATGTGAATGAATAATGTGTTCATAGAGATTAATCAGAAGTTAGATCTTCATTTGTTTACAGGAAGAGTTTGAATAAGATAATTGTCTGCCCACAGGTGAAATAGAGACATGCAATGCAGACTGAGCACACGGGGGATAATATTTCATCCCGTTCACCTCACGCGCTACTTCACATGTCACATCTCAACATGACTCAACATGTGATATACACTACCCCACATCAGCTGATGTGACAGTGACTTCCTGTGAGGAACAAACTGTGGAGGAGAGATGCTAGTCTTACCGATGCATATCTGCCTCAGGTCCAAGGTCTTGCAGTTGCCATCGTCAGGCTGAGCTTCGTCAGAGGAGCTTGAAGATGCTGAGCCGGTGCCATACAGAACCAGGATGAACTGGGTCAAAGTGCCTGAGCGCAGAGATAGAGGAGAAAAAAAAAAAAAAAAAAAAAAAAGAAATGAACCATGAGACAAAGTAGGCCTGTCAAAAACCTAAAGGCTCCGACACTCCCTCGGGTGGATTTAGTAAATGCATCCTCTTCTCATTGTAGACTCTTGGATTTTCAGCATAAAATGACTCCTTGAAATGAGCTACCATTTAAAGACAGCATGATTTCACTCTGTGCCTAGTATGAGTGTTATAAAGTGCACATCTCTGAAGAACCATTCAAGTGTGGGGACTTGTGAGAGGTTCCACTTTAGTAAATCTCTTCTTGCCGAGGAGGGAGGTGTGAGGCGTTTATACATCTTCTTTAGTTTAAAAGAAAAATCGAGATCTGTTTTTCTGTTTTCTTGGCTTCTGAATAATGTGTTGTGGGTGGATGATGTAGATGCAGACGGTTGTTGGAGGATGCAAGCACAAACAGACAGGGTGAAATATTCACTCCCCTGCTTCATCATGCTCCCTGCTATAAGAAAACTGGTTACTGCAGAGCTTTTCAGAGCCGGCTTCACAGCTCCTATAAAGAGAACCAAAGGCACTCTGGATGCAGAAGCCACTTGATCTCTTATCTCCTGGCACTGAATCCTTAACCCTTGAGCTAAACTCTAGACTCAACAGATTAATGTTGATGTAAAGTCATTCTATGTGGTCCTCGTGGGCTCGTAGTTAAGACGCATACTGTACCACGTGACCACGACGCCCCGGGTTTAATCCACTCGTTGCCTCGCTCCCGTATCTCTACGGTCAATAAAGGCAGAAAATGCCAAAAGAGAAAACATATATACGCTCACACTGTGTGTATGTATATATACATACATACATACATACATACATATATATTTATGTAAATTACTGCTGAAATTAGTTTAATTCATAACACTCAAAAATTGAGTACAGTGGAAAAACTCCGTGCCGTTCAATTGAAGAAAGGATGGTCCAGTGTTCCCTATGCTAAAAGAGATAAAAGACGAAGCATTGAAGCACATTCCTCAGCATTTACAGAATCCGACCAGCTCTCTCAGAGCTGCCACTTAGACACGTACCGGTCATTTCACCCAGTTGGGAACCTTCCTAATGGGTCAATCGACCGCAGCCCTGTTTGTAATACTGCAATAGAAGGGCTTTCATCAGTGGGCCATAGGCTCACAATGTGTTACCGCATTCGGCGACAGACAGATAGAAGGACTTAACAGACATTTATTTACATGAAAATCTTCTAGATTATTACTTAAATGAATAAAATTATTAGTCAATTGACTGAAAATCAATTAACAATTTCTATTTTTCGTCTGGTTCCAGCTTCTTAAATGTGAGGATTTACTGCTTTTGTTAGTTCAATGTATCTTTAAGTTTTATACTGCTTTCAGACAAAACAGCAACAACAGCTTAATGAAGATGTCCTCTTGTGACTGAAAAAAACTCGATTACAAAAGTAGTCATCAAATTTATGGTCACCACAAGGAACTTTTAACTGGCTATGAAAGGGCCTCGATTTAATACTGACGCGTTTATGTGACGTAAATGAGCAGAAGAGACCATCAGTGAGAATATTGTTTTTTTCTACATAGTTATTCTTGTCATCAGGTCCGAATACGATTCCCTGTGAAATCCGACGAAACTAATGACGGCACGCAGGTTCACCAGAAACTCCTTCTGCTCAGACTCCAGCAAGGGTAGTAGCTTTAATCAATAATGATAATCATTATTTTGCATCATCATCCCAATTTCAAATACGGCCAAAAGAAAGATAAACTAAGACGGGACTAAATTCTAGTTATGAACACACAAACATGGAGGCAAATCCACCGAAATGTTAATTTCTTGAATCTTTCGCGACAAAGATGCTTTACCGTAGTCACTGGCACCAGCCACGTTCTCGATCTCCAGCATCCACGCCCCGGTGGGGATTTCATCCCAGGAGTGGGTGGTCATGAAAGCCCAGTCGTTAAAACCCTCTGATGAGTAGTCATGAGGCCTGCAGGAAAATCAAGAGCAGGCAGTGTAAACAGTTTGTGTTTACCAACATGCACCGTTTTGTCTGTGTGAATGCGTACTTGTGTGTTTGTACCTGGGGTGGAGCAGAGTGGAGCGTGTGCCGGCAGGACTAATGAGGTGGATCGCCAGGTTCCCCCTGCGGTTGTAGGACAGAGTGAGCCGGGCCTGAACGTGCTCCAACGACGTCACGCGACTGTCTGTCCCGATGCAGGCGTCCACGCTCATGTTGATCGACAAATGGCTGCCAATGTTCCTGTCAGACATGAGATGGGACGTATGAGAAAGACACACGAAGACAGCGGTATATGTTAGTTGTAGGTTGTGTGTGCTGCTAAAATCATTACTGGCTAGTTCTGAGCTGGGAATAATCTACACTCCAGATAACTGCGCGAGTGTGACACTTTGCTCGGGGCCAGTGTGAACGTCTGAGACTTAGTGGCCTTGAACAGGATTAGCGTCGGTGTAGCACCGGTGTCCTCTGTGGAAGTAAAGCGCCAACCTCTTTTTACTCCCCCGCTTAGGAGATTACACGCATCCACAACAATTCAGAGGAGGAGGAGGACTACGAGTTCTGATCACTAAACTGTCACAGCCCTTCCAGGTTCCGTCTGATACATTTTTCATGATGGATTACATAAACGCCTTTGACCTTTGGAGCAGCCTCACATGGGAAAAGTCCTAAAGGTTCATTTACAGCACTTTTCTACAGTAGATGCCAACAACGTCATACAGTCAATGTCCACATTATTATTGTGATGCAAAATTGGCAGCAATGCAGTCAAAACAAATTAAAACATGAGAGAAGGAAATGGAAATGTATACAGATGGCTGCTGACATTTGACCACTGCGGCACACTGTGGTTTAAGGTCTGGGAGAAGCATTTGTGGCGCTGTTGTAGAGCAAAAGATCAAGAAAGAAAGGCGGCAAGTTTGGCTCCATTTGTCATCAACATTTCAGTCGCAGCTACAGGTGAAAATCACGTCAGTGATGATTGGAAACACTGTTGCTGAAAATTAAAAGATGCCTGGAGAATAACACACGTTTTCTCTGTTCAGTGTCATCAAAACAAAACACACCCCAAAAAACCAACATTGCACAGATGTCTTTTGCTGGAATTAGTTTCTTATTCTGGCATTTAGCAGATCTGGTCCAATGGATTATTATCTACCAATAAAACTCTTATCACATATTGGAAATATTTTATTAAACGATTTTTAAATTCAATCTGTTTACAGCAACAATTCTGGAGAGACATGATTATGAAGCTTTTCAGAACAACCCAAAATATATTCTGGGAGGCAGCCAGACCTGAGGAATTGCCATCCATTTGGCAGGTTTGGAGTGTTTCTAGATCATAAATCACTTTCTGAAAACATTTGTCAGAGCTTCCAACTCTCTTAATACTCCAGTTTGCAGTAATACTAAATGTTGCAATCCTGGGGGTAATTTGCACTAAATTAGCTAAATCCTCTTCTAGAACAAAGTGCGCACACACGCACGCACGCGCACACGCACGCACCTGGGTGTTTGTCCGTCACATTTAATGTTGAAACAACAGACAACACATCTCTCGGATACCTCTTGAAACAATGCTTGTGTGCTCACTTATTCGGTTAGACACATGCTTAGAGGAGCTTTCCTGCAGAGACTTCATGCTTTGAGGCCCAATCCATTTTTCCAAATGAAAACTCAAGGTTAGGCCGACCAATACAAATGAAATCAATGATCTGCAAACTCCTGCCACTTCAAAATCTATAAAGAAATCTTTATATAAACAGAATAACACTTAACTAAAAACTCCAAAGTTATCTATTCATCATCTAACTGTTACACGAGTAAATGGCAAAAGAAATTGTGATTATGGTCATAATTGTGCAGTACTGCTGTTTTTCCATCTTTTTGATCAATCTGTAATGAGACTGTAAGATATAATCACTGTATATAAGACACTGAACACATACCTGCTGACTCATTTCTAGTCAGTCTGGATAAGTGAGCCGGCTAAACACCTAAAATGTAAATTGAATAACATGCCTTGACTGATGCTCCCAGACGCTCAGACCATCTGCTCTGAGCACCTCATAGCTGCAGTGAAAGAGAGAGAAACCTCTAACCCAGCGAGGGAAGTGACAGTGAGTGCATAATGAAGAGGAGATATCAGGCTGTGTTTACACTGTGACACCAGGAAAAGAAGGAATAAAATGGCGAAGGAGAAATTTACAGTCTTAACAGCGAAAGCAACGCATGAATTGACAAATTAATATTTCTCTTTTAAATGCTCCCTGTCAAGCCGACGGAGCATTTTAACGGGGCCCTGAGCCGAGCTGCAGATGAAGACATAACGTGTCACTGCAGCAATGTCAACGTCTCTTATCGCTCAGACATCCAGGTTGTGTTATCATGCCGCTTAATCCCACACCGAGTCTACGTCACAACAAATGTAGACAACAGCAGTGTTTTTATTCTGTTCTGCCATTTCTTGTAATGGTATATTGATTACTATTATTTGAATCAGTATTTTTTTCTGATCACATTCATCCATTTCATGTCTTTTCTGTTTAATCTTACATTTGTGTTAAACGGTTCTCTAGCTCTGTGCTGCTGCCATCTTAGCCAGGACACTCCCGTAAAACCTGTTTTTATGCCAGCGAGGCTCTTTTCTGGTATAATGGCTATTCCAGTGATTTAGTATTGCACTTTCAAAACGTTGGACTCAGAAGAGACAGATTAAGACGGTCAGGAGATATCCTGGTTACTATTCCAAAGTTTAGAAAGCTTCCTCCAGCGCCAAAGACGACAAGCTGTTTTTAAGTTTTTCATCCAAAATTCTGTTTGAATGTGCAAAAAAATTACATATTCAACCTGTAATAATCAGCGCTGTTGCAGTAGAGTGTTCCTAAAATACACAGTCAATCTGATCCAGATCTGCTCTATCAGTAAAACAGACTATTGTTCTTCTCTTTGCTAACACAAAATGGAGAAAACCAGTTCTACATGCTGAGCAGATAATCATGAAACAAACCATCTGGGACTAAAGTGAGTAAAGATTTTGGTTTTGACAAAAACAGATTCTGGTTTGTAGGTAAAGGTAAGGTTGTTAGCCGATATAAGTGTGAGTGTTAAATGCAACTGCATTACAATAATGTCAGCTCGTCACTCAAGTGAGGCAGCGGAGGCACCTTGGACTGAACAGAACATTATTCTGAAAGGTAATTTAGGATTAGGCTGTGTGGGTTGCATTCAAATCAATTCAAACAAATGACTTGTTTCTTTTAATTAGATTGAACTAGATTTGTTTTAAGTGACAGCAGTAATGTGTGAAGACTCTTCTAATCATGGTGGCGAGATAAATGGAGTGAGCTGTAAGTGTGTTTTTGTGTGCGTGTGTAATGTACCAACCTTGGCTCACTGACCATGGTGATCACACATTTCCGCTGTGGCCTCACACTGGTCCATGTTTCTGCCAGCGCTACAATTGCACTGGCATCAAGTAGACCATATCCATATGAATGGCTAACTGCAGAGACCAAGAGAGAAGAGAAGAAAACAGACGCATGAGATCAGCATCCTCGCTCTGCTCCAACTATAGACGAGTTACAGTTATATTTTAGGCTTTCGTACAACCAGGGCCTTGCATCCCTAGTTACAATTTTGTTTATTATAATCATAACATGCTAATGAGCCTCCGAGGCATCTGCAAACTGCAGATGGCCAAAGAAAACTTGGAAGGAGTTGCTGTACCTTTGCGCCCAACCCCATTTGTTCTCCAGTCGTTGGTGAGCAGGTGGGCAGGGTGAGAAGTTCGTACAACCAGATGTTGCATATCCCTCCAGGTCAGATTTTTACTGGAACGTGTGTATGTGCAAGCACACACAAAGACACACACAGCCACATAAAGAGAAAGACACACACACACACACACACGCGCGCGCGCACACGCACACGCACACACACACACACACACACACACACACGCACACGCACACACACACACACACACACACACACAGGGAGACACACATGGTCAAACAGGTGCGTCCTAGAGTCTTAACCTGCAGGTGGACAGCTGAATAAATACAATGAAGTACCAGTCACATACTTTCCTGAATTAGACTAAATCTTCAGTCAACATGCGTCTGAACTCAATTCCTGCCTATAAAAAGTGTCAAGTGGTTATCCTGCCTGCTGCCATGCAGGTTTGAATGGATAACAAGGGGTTACAGCAGGTCACAGTTGGGTTTAACTTAAAAAAAAGGTATAATTTTTATTGCAATCGCCTCGCTACTTTTGCCACAAGACTAATTACTCATTTTCAGCACTGTTCTGACGTTCATGTTTGTCCCTCCATTAGCGCTGCGTGACTGGATAAGAATGATTAGTGCTGTTGTTAATGCACTGCAAGTCTGTCAGGCAGAGAGGTTAAAAAGTAATTCATAAAAAGGGATAATCGAGCAGAATGGCCGCATAAACAAGTAGCACCTGCAGTTGAAGCCTTATTTAATACAAGTGTTAAATCTGTGCCAAAAAAAGCTAGAAAATGATTTTAGCTGTTGCCACTAAAGGACCAATTTGCAATCGGAAAACTTCTAACTACACGCTAGAAACTGATAAGAGTGGGGCTTGAATTCAAACTACTGAAATCATTTTTCAATCATGAGTTTGTTCTGTACAGATTATATTTTCTGTTCTTTTCACGGGATTACAATTATTTTAATCAACAAAGGTCAGGGAAATATGCAGATGGGGAAGGTTAGAATGAGACCGCAAAGCTGAAGAGAATTGTAAGGCTTGGGGAGCCTCAGGAAAATGGTGATAAGTACTTACTTGGCCTCAAGGGCAAGAGCGATGATCCCAGCAGCCAGCGGGGCGGAGGCAGATGTGCCTGTGTGGGAGTCTGTGCATTTTGATTTGAGGTCTGTAGTCACCTACGGAAGATGAACATGGGAAAGCTGAAATAGACGGCTCCGACAAAACAAAAAGGTTCTTCCAATTCAGTTTTTTTGAACTCTGGTCCGTCCTCAGACGGTATCACAAATCCTAAACTTTCGCAGCTAAATAATTGAAAAATACATTCCCAAAACGTTTAAATCCTGTTCACCTCATAACTGTGAATTTGCCTCCTTTAAGTGAGAAAACAACTTTACCCTCCATCACTCCCTGGCTTACTATCTCATGCGTATTTGCTGGCGGCGGATAGTGCCTAACAGATAAAGAAGCAGGAACTTAAGAGCAAAACGTCCTCAGCACGGCTCGCTGGACCAGCTGGAAAAATCAAAGCAGGGAAATCGTATAACTTATGCTCTGCCTCCCTCAACAACTACCAGTGAGATCTACTGCTCCAGTAGGAATCTCCTAAATGACCCACAGCAGAGCGTTGTGGTTGTACTGGGCATCTCCCAGGAGTGAACTTCTGCAGCTGAACAAATGCAAAGCAAGGTGGTGCAGATTCAGCATGTTTGTACTCAGCAAAAAAAGATCACGGGAAGGATAAAGGTTACAGAACACTGCTTTGCAAAAAGCCCTCAATCCCCCACAGTAAACTCCTACAGGGCAGGTCAATCAATGTCAGTGAAACAGACTGATACAAAAGCAGCTGGAGTCAAAACCCTGCTCCCTGTGCTGGCCAAAGCAGAGCCTCCTGAAACTGATCTCTTAATAAATGCAGTGGCAGGACTGACTTTAATGCTCTAATTATGCATTCAGGAGCTTCCCGTATGCCCCTTTCTTTAAATTGAGCGAGATGGATAATATAAGTGCAAAACACCCTGAAACAGACATTAACATATTCGCTCTTGCAGAACCCCAGAGGTCCCACGTTCTCTTTTCTACTCCTTCTCTTCATTGCTGGGTTCATGAGTGACAGCACAATTAAATGAGTACAGCACCGAGGCATTAAGAGACCAGCCACATGTCATGGAGATGTCATAAGCTGTCCGTCCAGTTGGCCCGGCTGCTAGACTGTATGCTAGAAAAAGAAAGACTGTGCGTGTGTGATTTTGTGTTTGTGACAAGAATATTAAGCAGCAACAGATTGCCAGATGGAGTTTCAGCCGTTCACAATTCATAATAATTGTAATGGTCTGAGACTGAATGAATGGAGAAGTAAAGGGAGGACAGGAAGAAGAAGTCGAGCTGAGGTTCAAAGTAGGCTGTATGTATGGAGCTGAAACAATGATTACATCAATCATTAAGTCCATTTAGATAAACAGTCATCTGAAACTATTATGAAGGCAGTGGTTATGTGAATACTTTCTGTGATAACAAGCTGCATCTCTGGATTTCGGACTGTTGGTCGAATAAAACAAGACATATTCTGACCATTTAGAGAGCAAACAAGTCGCTTTATTAAGAGAATAAATCGTAGATTAAACTAGAATTGAGATAATTGCTACTTGCAGCCACGTATGTACAAAATGTAAATGCATTTAATATACAGTACGAGTTTAGAAACTTTGAAATTTGCATCTAAAGAGATAAAATATCTTTCTCATTATCTAGCCCCAGTTTGTATGCACATTCACGCACACCTGGGTGATACGATTCACCGTCCTGCCAAAGGTTTCCCTCTATCCAGGGATCTACCGCTAAGAAACACAGCAATGCGCTAAAGCTGGGCGATACGCCGAAATATGTCCTTCAGATAATTTCATATCTCGATAACAATATGTATCATGATATAGCATGTTTTCTAGTAATTCAATAAATTAATAATCTTTATGAAATCACCACATGATGAAGCCTATTTTTGTTCACTCCTGTGTGAATGGTATACTTGACAAAGTTGTTCTAATTTTCTTGTCTGAGTCTGACTTTCTTCTGAAGTGCTTCTTGTCGTAGTTTGAGTCTGGGATACGTTTCCTCATGTTGAGCCCTCTCTGTGATCGAAAAGCACCCGTTTGCTTCAGCTGATTCAACTGCGGTAAATATTGCCATAAAGCAGTTTGGCGGCTATTTCTTTTTTGACATTAAGTTACAGAAAATTCCTCAAGGAGACCTTAAACCTCAAGGAGACATTTTTATATTGTTTGACGCCAGCGAAGGCAGGAAGATGAAGATTGAAAGCAAGTAAATATGAATGTAAAAAAATGCAGCTTTCAAAATGTTGAAATCAAATTTGCTTTGTTAATGTAGTAAGAGGAAGGAAATGGGTTTACACGTTTGTTAACTAAAACATTTCAGCAGCTATGAAGAAGATGGGGTTCAAGTAAACTTCCCCTTGGAATAAATATCCTTCCGTTTTTACCACAGACATGGAAGCAGAAGTTCAGGTAATGTGAGGGACAGGAAGAGAGGAAGGGAATGAAAGGAAGCCACAACTCACTATCTGTTTCTCGTTGAGGTTCCCCGAGCTGTAAGTGGTGGCGAGGGTGGAGGAGCAAGCCTCGCTGTACCAGGGCACGTTGCCATTCTGGGTGGAGCTGCTAATGGACAGGGTGTAGATGCTGTTGGTGTAGCCGTCGCAGTTACAGCTGTCCTTCTCCCTCCCTCCGTTCCCAGAAGCCCACACAAAGATGGAGCCCAGACCACTGCGACCCTGGAGAATGTACAATACAGTCAGACAATCAGAGAAAAAACAACCACAGACCCACATTCTCACTCATTCATTCATTGGACCACACTAACCAGAAAACAACAAAGTCTCATTCAATCTTTAATAGGAATCCCGATTATAGAAAGGCAAATTTGTTTCAGGGCTCATTTCAAAATGGGCCCATTAAAATGCAGCATAAGTCCCAGAGGCCGGGGTGGTCACTCAGTAAATTTAAAAAGAGCTATACGTCGCATGACAGCAATGCAATACAAAAAGGCACTATATGACAACAGCTCATTGTGATAAATCATTCAACCTCTCAGCCTTTGAAGTGCAATCATTTCCATCTAAGAGCCGCTTTATTGTATCGAGCAGAACCATTTCCTCTCTGCATTGATAAAAACCAGATACGCACCACCCACACCGCCATCTGACAGCACTGTCACAATTATCTTAGTCGTCAGTGGTCCCAATCAGCTTTACGGCACATGCCTGGAATCCTACTGCTCTATAACAAGAGTCAGAGTTAGCTGGAGGATTGGGTTTGTTCATGGAGTGCAGATGTGCTTATTAATCTGTTGACGTGTTCATCCCTCCCTCCTCCCTCCCTCTCCCTCTCTCTCTACAACAGGACGGGTTACGTGGCGCATGGTCCCTTTTTGGTTAATATTCAGATCGCCATTTTGATATTTACTGACAGACTAGTTTTTAAAATCCCCCCTAACATCTCTGTTTGGACGCCTTTGATTAGAAATGCTTGTCATGTTATTCAAAGCTTTAGTAACTGTTTGGTTGGAATTCAACAACAACAAAAATGTCTTTCAAGTCTTCTTAAACACTAATTCACACTAGAGACCACATGCCGACTGAGTGAAAAAGCTGAGAGATAAAAGATGAGCAGGCCGTTTAAAAAGCGCCCTTCAACTAACAATGAATATTGAAAGGAAAAACTTTTCATACTTCATTTCTGTCAGTGCTGCTTCTATTCATTTTCCAAGATTTTCCTCCCTGGTGGCTTTTAGAGGACATTCCCTTCCATTCATAATTGTCAGGGTCAAAAATTTCTTTGTTCTTCCTGCTTGTGTTCTCTCATGCTTGAACAGTTCAATTACTGACTGCTGAAAGGAAGTCACACACAGGCAGTAAATAATTCCTGTCCCACAAAAGCATTCACAAACACACACCTCTGTCACTCCACGCAGAAAGGCTTCTTTGGCGAGTTTGGCAGGTCCGTCGACAGTTTTGCCGTCATCCTCTGGGCCCCAGCTGGCGCTGTAGACGTCAATATGTTGGGGATTCAGACTGAGGGACTGGGCCTCCACCATGTCAGTCACCTCGCCATCCAGCATACGAACACCTGCATCCGCATTCACACAAACACACAAACAGGCACACACCAGATGACAGAACAGAAAGGATTTGTTAGTGGGTATAGATACTATTTTTGTGAGGAGTCAAAGTTGATATCAAATTGAATACCTAATAAACAAAGAACCAAAGTGAAGGGAATGGATAGCGGCTCGACGCTACATTATTCATGGCGATGTAGCCCTGTAGTTTTACCCGACTGTGTGCTCATGCTTAGCAAGGTTTGACATGTGTAGGGACAAAGCAATGCTGCTGTGTCGTTTGATTTACATATTCACAAGCTTGTTTGCAATGCTGTACATTGACTGTGTGCATTTGTACAGCCGACATGCTGCTGGTGTTGGTTATTTGTGCATCCACTGTGACGTTCTCATGGACCCCACCATGTAAATCAACGTCACCTCTATTGATTTGCTTCGGCGCTTGAGCTTGTTCAAAAATGAAATGAAATGAAATGAGATCAATTGCATTGTGGGTGACCTGCCTCCTCAAGTGTGCAGCAGACTTCTCAGACAAAATAAATCCAAATGAAAATATGAAAGACAACATTAGTTTTCTTCCTCTTCATGTCTGGGTGAAATTGATGTTACTGTCTGACTGTAAATTGAATCAGACTTATTTCAAGGGAAGTGAACAACTTAGCCAGTGAGGTCAGCAATCATTGATGAAACGCTGTTCCAGAGGTAACACACACACACACACACACACACGGTGCTTGTCCTATCGTTCCACCACAGAGAGAGTGGAGGGAATTCATAGACTCCTAAAAAAAAAAAATTAAAAAAAAAAAAAAAAATCACACAAATGTTCCTCTTTGTTGCATTGCAGGGCCGGTTACTCCATGTTGCTCTATATTGGTTAAAGCAACCAGGCATCGGCTCCTTGAAGTCCGCCAAAAGCGTCAAACAGGCACTGGGCTGCTAGTGTTTCCATGGCAGCCTGCACTTCTGTGAGAGGGCCATGTGATTCGCTGAGGAGACTCAAATATCTCCAGTCCTCTTCCAAAACACCCCCGACCATCCCAAAAACTAGAGACCAAGGTTGTTAATGCATCAAGGTTCAAACTATTTCTTGCACAGTGTCATGAGCCGCCCGTTGACTCTCAGATCATATTAAAGGTCAAGTAAATTAAGCATTTCTTTAAACTGCTGGTTCAAAAATATAATGAACAGTACACTTTGCCTCTTTAGAATTTTAGAGATTTCCTTTTCATACAGATATAGTTTATACGATGTACAAAAAAAAATGTTTTTATAAATAAATTTGCTTTCTTACGGAGAGATAGATGAGAAGAGCGCTACTTACATTCTTGCCTACAACAAATATGAAGCTACAGTCAGTTAGCTTAGCTCAGCATAAAGACTGAAGTGCAAAACCAACTCGATGTGGTTTGATATGAAGCTGCAGACTAATGCTTAACAGACAGACACGCTTGGTGAGAGAGCCAATAAGCTTATATTCCCAAGAGTTGAACTATTTCTTTGAAGATCATCAGCGAGTCGACTGAAACAAGAAGTAAAACAAAGGAAAATGTATATTTCTGACAACATTACTATGGCAGTAACCAAGTAGTGCTTAATTTACTGCTCCTTTTTGTGGAACTGGTAGGAACTGGCTCACCTGAAGGACTGCCTTTATCTCAGACAAACTTATGAATTGGAATATTGTTTCAAATTACAACGGGGGCTATTTCACAGGCGCGTGTCCTGGCTGAATAATGAGCTACAGTTCGGCAGCTGGCATGGAGTCAAGTGAGCGCACTAGCGCAGAGGAGTCACAGAGGCTTCTGCACTCCCCTGGTTTTAACATGGCAATTTGTGTTTTATTTTTTTAGTGTTCTGGAGAATAACGCTTGTGTGTCGGGCTTCCAGCTGTTCAGCGTTACCTGGACTATCGCGTGTCGCCGTGCTGTGTGTCAGTTTGATGTTCAGTAAATGTTTGGCATGTCACTGCAACTTGTCTCAAAGTGAAATTTCATACTTGAACTTAAATACATCACATTATAAGGTTAGATTACAGTCACATATCAAGACATTAAAACTAAGAGTTGAAATGTTCTTCAAAATTCAGAAACAGGGTGCAAACATTTGAAACATTTTAAGGAAATAACTGCTTTAAATTACACTACAAATCTGTGTCTTCAAAAGGTTTGAAATGTATTTTCAAATCTTAGTTTGAATGTTTTGATATCTGATGGTGATAGATCAGAATCAGCTTTAATGTCCATGCATGCAAACACTGCTCCCAATGTGCGCAGACAGAAATTGAGTTTCTGTTCTTCATTTTATTCTAGTTTCTGATTCTGCTGGTGGAAAGGATCCTCGAGTCTGGTTAAAAGTGAAGGTTTTAACAACACTGTGCCGCCTCGTGCTCCGCCTACTCGATCACACACACAGCCCACTTGTTATGATAGAAAAGCTGATGCCATGTGGTATATTCGTACTGGCCATCTGGAGATCATAAAGAGTTATGGCTCTATTTTGACGGGGTTCAAACTTCAGGAGCTAGAAGTAGGCATGAAATAAAAGAAATGGGCTCTTTATAATGAAACAAAGAAGACAAATAAACTTTGTTGTTTTCTTAATATCAAACAGCGTCTTTTGAAAAATGGGAACAGAAACTACAAGAACAGTTCCCTTCCTGTAGGCAGAAGCCAAACAACCCATCAGGGTGCAAAATCATTTTTAGAACAAACAAATTAATATTTCACAATATTTTGCCACTCACATATTTTCTATCTTCTCATAACTGAGCAGATTTCTGTCTGTTTGTGAGTCTCCGTCACTGTCTAACTGTTGGCTTTCATCAAATGATGTTCTCCATTAATAGTGCAGAATTAATTGTGGCACTGCAGTCAAAGTCAAAATCCAGGACCCATGTCTTTAGTGTACTTTTCACACTAGCACTTGGTGTTAGCAGTAATACTTGAGCACTAAAAGCTCAATGGAAAACAAGGTAGCACATTAGAAGTACAAAGTGAGGGAGTTGTAAAGTACACAGGCTTGATTCAAATAGAATCATGTTTAGTTAAGCTGCGATGTCTTTCTCTCTCCATCTCCAATTTGCACTGTTATAGCTATTCACATTATCAATTAATCTGCCAATAATGTCTCAGTTAAAGGGATAGTTCTGATGTTTTGAAGTGGATTTGTACACTTATCCATAGTCAGTGTATTAGGTACAGTAGATGAGTGGTTTTTAATTATTTTGCTGTGTGATGCCGCTGTTCACAGCAGTGCATAGCTTTGCTCCTGTGCCTGATTCTCCAAAGTGGTGGCGTGCCGACCATCATCTACTTTAGGTAATACATTGACTTTAGAAGTACCTCATACAACCTCACTTTAAAACATCAGAACTATCCCTTTAAGCGATTAATCATTCATCAATAAAATCTAGTGTGGATAATGGTGAAAAATATATAATATTATAATTTTCCAGAGCACTATGTGATGTCTTCAAAAATGCTTGTTTTGTCCAAAAACCTTAAATATTCAATTTACAAAGTCTCACATTTGAGTAGCAACTTTCTGTCGATTGAATAAAACGACAAGAAAAGGAGAGAGAGAAAGAGACAGAAAGTATCAAGCATGTGATGCTGAAGAGCAGCAGAGACTGACATCACAACCCGGGCGTCAGTGAGATCCTGTCAAATGTGTATTCTGATGATCTGACTTCAGCCCGTCTGACACGGCTTTAAAACAAAACGTACAGAGGGTGCTTCTCCTTCAACAAACTATAAAGACTGTGTTTGCAGTACTGCAGTCAAACTCTGAGGCTCTCCCTCTTACGTCTTTAGAGAGACGCCTCTAAATACATCTGCCTAGCACTTTGTCAGGTACCTTTTGTATTTTATATTGAAGAGTGTATATGATGGGTTTTTTCCGCACCAATTCACAGTGGATACTGGAACATTAGGAGAGAGTTAAATCAGCCATTTGGTGCAACTTGTATCCAAGCTGGGAGTAATACATTTTGACATTAACTTAACACAGATTCCGACGTTATGGCACCGTGTCATTTCAGAAACTGCTTTCCACTGTGCTTTTTCAATACTGTCACTCCGTGCAAAACCGATACAGTTACAGTGAATTGGCAATCCACATCACATCTGTGATGATGCTCAGAAAGATTCAGTGGCATGCTGTGCCTGGGAAATGGGCTGAAAATAACACTGGCGCTGCGGAACAAGTATTTCAACATTTCTGGCTGTCAAAGAGGAAAACTGAGATGAAACGAGGGTTTGTTGCGCCTGTGAGATCGAATCAATCATCCGCATGTTTTATTTGACCTTACCTCCAATCTTGGCATTGTAGGCCACACCGACTCCACAGATCCCGTTGTTGGCTACTGCTGCCACTTCTCCTGCACATCTTGTCCCATGTCTACAGAGGAAGGATGAGAAAGTAAGAGGCACGTTTAAGGACTTACCATTTTAAGTGTCATTCACCTAATGACACATCATTTCATCATTTATACACGTATAATTAAATAAACACGCAGGTAGTGTGCATGTCTAACAACGGCTGCTTGTGAGAGTTCCTGCTCCCTCCTCCACCGAGCTGTAGACTGAGGAAAAACAAACTGGTGGAGACAGGTTCTTGGCTTTAATTCCTTTAAATAAATCTGAATTCCCATTTGTCTAAAAGAAAACATCCAGCCATTGATTGGAGACCGATGTACACTATCTTATGGCCCGCTAGCATTAGTAACCTTGGAATGACTGCAGGCCTGAATCAAGTTAAAGGAAAAGGGAAATAAGACGGCACACTACCGTCACACATGGGTGGAAATTGTGAATTAGATTTGCCATTTTCACAACGGGTCTTTCATTAAGCCTGAGCCTCTGTAGTAACACCTAGCTCCAGGCACCGCAGTGAAGAGATCCAAGAAGCCAGTACAGAGGGGCTGATCATCACATTCCAGTCAGGTGCATTCCCCTGGTCCGCCAGATGGATACGCACTCTTAATGCCTTTCAAACCATGGCGCAATCCCCCACTGAAGGGAAGCCATTCCCAGACAGGAATGCTGGAGCCAGGGCAACACCACTGTGCCACATCAGGAAACAACAGAAACAGTGGACTTTCACTACTGAAGGAACCATCTATACCAGCAGGCTTCCATTAAGGCACTCTGGGTATGCAGCCAAACCAAAAACACAAGAATCAAAACAGCACATCAGCAGCAGACATCCTCCCCTGACACAATAGGCTCTTTCTGCTGTCAGGAAATGGACATTTAATCTGACGGTAGCCTGCCAAAACTGCTATTAACGATTATTAATGAATAATAAAGAACTCATTAATCACCTACTTTGAAATGCATTTTAGGTCGGAGGTCACAGAGGCCATAACCCATAATTATTTGACTATATTTCTAATAACCGTTAAGACTTCTGCTTTCACTAAAGATACAGGTTTAACGACAGAAGGTCAGAGAACTGTAACCCTTCTGCTGGCCCCTCGAGATCTCTTTAGACACACTGATGAGCTGAGAGGGCGAAGGTTAATGTCAATGCCACAGTCAATATTGGCACCACGTCTCTAACGTGTCACAGGACGTCAGTTAGATGGAGGCCAAGGTCCAGCTGCAGCATGCTAATAAAAACAACTTTATAGACAGAAAAGTAACACACACAGAAATGTCATCTGGGTGATTTTCCAGAGAGCCTTATCTTGACATTCCTGGAAGTGCTGGCCTGTTTACTTTGGGAGTCATATGTCCTACAGCATCCGTGTTTGAGATGCAGCTGATGATAAGGAGCAGCTCAGGTGTCTGTGATGGGATGCCGGGCATGCACAGGCATTTACCTCCAGTGTTTAACGGAGCCCTTTTCCAAATCTTCCTTTGGACACATTCATTACAGTCACTTACTTACATGGGAGACTGACGCATATCATACAAATGCTGTTACAGAGGTAAAGCTTAAGGTTTATGAATCGTATTATGCAAGAACTACTTTCATAATCATGCTTTTGGGAGTGATTTTTCTTGGGAGAGATAAATACAAGAAGATATCCTTTTACTGCTCCCACTCACTGTTCGGGTCAATTTGAAGAAGATTCTTTGTGAAACCTTGTAAAAGCGAAACTTAAAGAGTCTCTAATGTCAAGACAAATTAAAATCCATTCCATATCATAGAAAACCAAGAAACGGACACATGTTTACATTTAAAAAAGCTGGCAACACTTTTTGCTTAAAAATTAACAAACAATTATCAAAACTAGGGCTGTGATTTGGCAAAGAATCTGGCGATACAATACGTTTCACGATACAGGGGGTTGCACTTCATTCCTGTAAACAGGCAATTTCTAAATTAAATTTAAGGAAAACTATCACACTATAAAGAACAGACCACCATATGCATACAATCTGAATAAAAAGCATTTACTTTTTTATGCAATCAGAACAGTGGGTTCTGCGTTTGCACATTTAGTCCATGTAACATCATTACACTACTTTTTGTGCCATTTCTGAGCCACTGTCTGACATGAATCTTTGAATGTAAACTATCAATTACAAATTGTTAGTGTTTTTGAGAATTGATAGTTTCACAAAACATAAAATAGCGATGCTCAAGTGCATCGCTATTTTCTTACACCCCTGATCAACAGTGTTGCAAAGTTTTATCTGTCCATCGACTAATACATTTTTCAGCTAATCATTTAATCTCGACCTATGATACCCATTTTTTATTCGACCAAATTAAAATTGGTAATCAACCGAATCAGCTTTTAAGACCCAAAACCTCATGAAGAATCTCCAAATGCAGAATTACATCATGGCGAATTAGAAACTTTGACTCCGAGTTCATCGGTCAACAGGATGATCAGTTACAACGAGATGACTGAGGAAGCTACCAGGCTTCTGACAATGAGGGCGGGGCAAATGAATGTCCTCAATTTGTCTGTAGGCACACATTTCTAGTGTTCTGCTGTGCTGACATATGAAACCAAACGCTGGATTCAACCTGCAGGCCAGAGGCTCAAGAGGGGACAGCACAGCACAGCACAGGATCACTTTAAGTGGTCCAGTGAAACCACTCCCAGACATTGTCTGCAGGGTTAAAGAGCTGTATGTCACTACAAGTACAGCATTGTGAACAAGTCACACAGAGTATTGATCATCACTGCTGTAATACCTACCTAATATATTCCCCGACACACTGGAGGACTCTCCGACTTCATTTAGTCTCAACTCTCAACTGCACTCAGAAAATCCGCTCCATAAATTGCAAAGATGCTCGCTATCCCTTCTAATACCCGATGTCGTTCCACAATTATGTGAACCAACTCAAGCTGTAATGACCAAGTCAAGATGTAACAGCAAGCTGTACAACAAGAAGTGTTTAAGGGTTGATACGAGTCTGTATATTAAAGGGGTGTACTTGATTTTTATACCGTGCAAAGATCATGTGATCATCTAAAAATGAAACAACATAAACATAAATGTTGGGAAGTTGCTTTTGTTTCTTTACACTGCAATACATTTTGTTATGTTAGATGTAGTTTGGTTAGTTTTTTTTGTAAAACCCTTTCAGATATGCTCGTTATGCAGAGTCATAAAGCATGCACAAATGAGCAAGTGAATATATCTTTATATTAATAAAAATGGCACTGTAAAAAATGGTGTAATTTACCACAAGCACCATCATGTTGTCCCCTCGTCTGTGGACACGAAACGCTGAGATATAATGAATAACCCAACGCTCTAATTTAGACAAGCTTCCAGCAGACCAAAACAAAACTCAATGAAGCAAAAGTCAATTAATGTGCCTGGCACATTAACAACATAATGGAAACTATCCATTTAAAGACTAAGTGGTGCGTGTACTGCTTACAGCATCAGTTTTCATCTCAACACGCTTACAACAGCAGTTACAGTGTGAACATGCTTTGTATTTAAAACACTTTGATGACTTCACTAATCCCTCTAAAAAAAAAAAAAAAAAAAAAAAAAACTTGATTAAAAAGTCACTCACTTCTTGGAAAAAGGAACAGGAGACTCTTGAATAAACTTCACAACACCTTTTGCATCGGATACATTGTCGTCATACGCAACGGTGATAATAGAAGATTCAGGCGAACAAAGAGCAATTTCAGTAAAGTCTTGTTCCGATTACAGCGAGAACAAGCCCCGTGGCAGAATCTAGGCACAGAGACTAACTCAGGTTACAGCAACGTCAGTCGGCTGCAGGCCTGAGGCCAACAAACACAATCAGTATTCATAGTCACAGCTGGCAGAACCATTATCACTGTGCAAAACCTGAACCGCGCCTCTCTGGAGGCTTGCTAAAGAGACATGCTATTGTCATACAGATGTATCCAAACTGTGTATGTTGTGCAAGGTATTCACCCAAACCTGCACTGGGCCAAAAAAGCATTAAGAAAACCAAACTGTCACAAAAGCAGCTATTTGGCTTATTATATAAAGATTTGCCACTGATGCTGCAGCTTTTCTAGCGCTGCGAAAACAGCAATCCTCGGAGGTGCCCCGTATGATAGGTGATCCTTGACAATCCCAAACTTCTTTTGGCTGGATGACTATGCAAAACTTTGAGTTGTGCTTCAGGAAGGGAATCTTTTTTTGTAGCAGATTCTATTTGCTAATCTTGGGAGATGAGGCAGAATATCTTGCGCAAGACCAAGCGGCAAAATAACCTGTAATTTGGTAACTGAATGAAATGTTTGGCCTCTGGAGTTTTATCTTTAGTGTCTTGTAAACCCATGAGGGTTGGGCACATGACATGAAAATAAATAAACCATCAATCATACATCAAAAGGATTTCTGTAAGACTTTCAACTTGTACATAAACTAAATTGAGAGCAACGCATAACCATTTCATCATATAGGGTCTGATATTGCAATGATATATTGTGACATATGCACTTGTCTAGCTCTGTATTGATGTTATTATCTTCACCCACTTCTCGCCCAGAGTCTGGCAAACAACATTTTCCCTTCACGTAAGTGCTTCTCTCTCACATTAGCTTAATTACTTCTTCTTTTTTTTTTTTTTTTTTTTTTTTTTAAATCATTGAGGCTCTCGAGGCCGTGGATGTAGCCTTTGCTGTTCATTAGTCTCTGGGTTGCACTGAACCTCAAAGGTAAATCCGAACAACTGTTTGGCTCTGCTCATTCTTAAGTCTGTTAATGGTTCTGCAGGGTTACTAATGAGCTGGCCTTCAGGACAAAATGCCTGGCGATGTTTATAGGGCATGGTAGAGAGAGGAATATGAAGGAAATGTCTAGAGAGATTAATGTAGGGTCAGGTAAAAAAGAATCAGGCTGCTGTTAAATAGGTCCCTCCATCCATTGCTGTGCCTTAAATAGTTCTGAATAGATAGACATTGTAGTGAGTCTGCACTGCCCTTTGTTGTGTTCAGTAAGTTTACCTCATTTTTCCTGTGCATCATCATCAAGAACAAAACCTGCCACCACCAACAATGATTGATGTGCAATGAACATGACATTAATTGCACACGTGGAATAGTGTGATTCAGACCATGTCTTATACAGAGAGCTAGCCTTGATCTAAATCACGAGGCACTGAATTGAGTTTTACAAAAAAATAAAAAAGACTCCATGCCAGTTTGGCCAGGTTTAATCCAGAAAATGCCTATTTGGAAACTATTTTGATAGGATGGACCGGGAAACATCGAGATCCCATGCCGTCTTAGATAAACATGAGGGTGAATGGCCACATTGCTACTGAGCCATCCTCACTGCTTCCCGTAGGCTGGGAAAGAAAGGAGGCCTTATGGAGGTGAACAGAGATGGCCTTTCTGCAGGGAATAGACACAGTCTCACACAGCCTTTCACATTTTCAATCCCGCCCACAGGTTGTTTACACATGCATCTGCAGCAACCCGGTGTAAAGTAAGAGAAACGGGCACAAACGCACACAAATATGCCCCCTCTCCATTGGTCCCGCCACGAGGAAAAGACACAGAGAGCTGGGTGGCAAGAGATAAGGGCTGAGGTGAGCGAGGGTTGGAAAGAAGGGGCAGCCAAAATGAAGGAAACATCAATAGTAAGTGTCTCAGCTGGGCTCTGGGCCACCAGAAGAGCTTAAGCGTGCCTTGGCACAGAGTGTGGATCTGTAGAGCTGGAGGGATCTTCTCCCACATTCTTCCACAAGAAATTCCCCCATTTAGGGTTTTGTTGATGGTGGTTGGGGAAAACAGTTTGCGGCATTGGCACAGAATCTTGGGCTGCACTACAAAGCGACAGCATATTGTTTAGTGTCTCCATGTTTATCCAAACTTTTACTGATAATTCTGTGTGGTTCTGCTCCCAAGTAGAATTCTAGTTTTTAAGTATGAAAATAATGACACCCTCTACCTACAATCAGCCTCCACCTTGTATGCGTTTCACAAAGCCTTTAAGGAGTTGATGCCACGTTGGCATAGATTCAGTATGTTTTGGCCATTCTGCAGCTCTTTATCCCCCCGGGCCTCCATATTCATGGTGCCTGCTCCTGGCCCCTGACTCAGCTGGGGACGTTTGATTTCCATCCCTGGCAAACTATAATCTTCCATGCCCATCACTAGTAATCATGGTGAGCCTCTGGATAAAAAAGCCTCTCAGGCCAGTGCGCCACAAACATAAGATTACAGCGAATTAGAAATTAAAGTCAGACGGGAGGTAGGCAGTTGGAATGAAGGAAGACGAGCAAGGACCCTCCAGAGCCAAGAGATTTGCTCTGTTTCATTAATGCTGATGAACTTAATTCAATCAATTCTCTGCAAGACATCACTGTGGTGGTAAACAACTCCTAATGCCATCTGCAGAGGCCACTGCATTAAAGCTGTTTTCTTCACATACTAACTTAATCCTAGTATAGATTTAGTCCACTTACCCCGGCTACAGAAATGCCCCGCTGGTGCCTGTGTGATTTAGGGGGCCAGAGCAAATCCACAAACTGAGTTGGGGGCAGGATTCATATTAGTTATTGCCCATTTTTACAAAGTAATATCTGCTAAATGGCTAAAAATCTAAATCTCTTGGACAAAGCCCATAGGCTATGGCCTTTAGTTAGTTTTATTCCCATAAACGGTGCCCCAGCCATAGGCCTGTTTATATGTGTGAGGGGGACAAATTAATGAACATGTACAATATCGTCCTGACACGTCCTCCTCACAGCCGGCATTTAGAAAACACAGATGGGTGTTTCCCGAGCAGGCCAACAGACAGACAGACAGAAGAGCGGAAATTGAAATGTTCCGTGTGTGGATTTCTACCTGTTGTCATTAAGCTGCGTGTATCGAGGCTGAGGATCTGGGTCGCCATCGTTCACATCGTAACTGGCATCCGGGTCCTAAATAAAGATGCAGATAGTCAGTTTGACACAGTCAAGTATTAAAAAATCTGCATAATTTTAAACCACAGAACCGGTCTGCACGGAAATTATTCTTAAAATAAATCAGCCACTTTCAGCACTTTTTTATATGATAATCTGTTCTTATCTTCAGCCGTTTGCTGCTGCATTAACAGCCTCTCCATTGAAAACACAATAAGTTATACTCACGTAGTTCTGCATCAAGTCAGGATGGTTCTTCTCTATTCCATCATCCAGGATGGACACCACCACCCCTTTACCCGTGTAGCCCAACTGCCACGCAGACTTTGCATTCAAGTCACGGTGGTTGCTGTTGTACTGAGGATGGAGAAAGCAAATAGATGGAATCTAATTATCTCAGAGACACAAGAGTGCTGACAAGAATGTACTTTTAACTAAATCTGAAAGAGCATACTATAAAAAAAATCTCATTTAAAACATTTTGATGAAGACTGGGCTTTTGACTGAAGCCTCCAGGAAAAAAAAAATGCAGCTTATTGAATTTCAGTTATTCCTTCTTAGTGAACAACTAAAGTCCCTGAATGAGGGGAAGGTGGTATTGCTTACAAAGTAAGTAAATAAGCTTACAAAGGGTATCCCTACTTTGAAAGCATCAATGCCATGCTTGCATTCATTGCATTAACACCAAGCAAAGCACAGGTGGTGTGGTTCACGGCACACAGTAATCATTCTGTATGCCGTTTGATAAGCTTTTAACATTCATCTTGACCTTTGGTCAAAAGCCACGTCCGTCTTTCATCAAGTTCAAAGCTCTTCGTTTTCTAAGTGTACCGCTGGTTAAACATAATGTGTCCGATGTACCACCGACACATTTTCCTCTCAGGTTTCAGACCCTTGTAAGTGCAGTCTATCAGAAAACGGATGAGGTGTGTTCTTCATCCTTGCAATGTCATTGACAGTTAATCCATCAAGAGGAAACCCAGTTGAAGCTGAATGTTGTGATCTGCAATGCTGATTCAAATTGGAAACAGGTCTTCTGTGGCTGACACGCTGAGTGTATAATAAATCAGAGAGAGGCATGTGCAAGGTTTCATTTTGAATATTGCTCATCAAGTGACAGCATTAATGTCAGCATTTCTTCTGCACACATCTCACGTCTGTGAGCGTACAGTAGGTACAGCTTTGAGGCTTGCGCACGATTTATCATCTTTCATCATTTAGATAAATATCAGAAAAATATGAAATATTCATTGTAACAGCAGATGTTGACCATTAGCATCTGCCCACCAAGGACACCCTGCCAACAAACCCACCCACACTCTGTGGCCAGCCAGGTTCAATTTTAATGAGGTTCACACTTATTTCCTGCTACCTGAAAGCATCTGCTACATCCCATCACTTCTGAGCACACATTAACACAATAACCTATCATCTAATATACACAATCTATCTCAAAGATTTCTTTAACTCATCAAAAGTGTAGATATTTGGACAGTATATGACCGGTCCACAATCAACAGCTTCATCATGATTAACGCTAACCTAACAATGGAGGTTGTTTGTGTCTTCTTCTTAGGTAGGGACGTTTATATTCTTCTAAAAGAAGCTCAGCTGATCCCGACAGTGGAAAGGATCCGAAAATATCGAAGGTGTTGCTCCAGTTTTCTAGTCTATTTGGTGCTTTAATGAGCTTTACAACCTCATGGGAAGCGCACACACTTATAAATGGAAATTAATTTAATTTTTTTCCCCACTTACACAAGTTCAGCATCTCTTTAATGAGGACCACAGAGTGCCTCATATTCATAGATATCAGCACAGTAACTTAGGTAATATTTTCAGTAACATGTGTTTTCATCAAACATTTGTCATTTCCTTATGTGCCGGCAAAGATGCCCGAGCTGCAACGATTAATAGTTGATCAAAAGAGAGTTAATCAGCAGCTATTTTGATAAACAAAAATGCTCCAAACATTTGCTGGTTCCAGCTTCTCAAATGTGAGGATTTGCTGCCTTTTTCTTTGGTCACATCGTGTACGATAGTCAGTGAAATATCTTTAGGCTTTGGACTAATGGTTGGACAATCATCCATTTGTGTTCTGATAAATTGTGATGGGCAGTTTTTCCAAAATGTTTAGAACGAAAAGGATTTATCAAGGAAATAATTGGCGGATTAAGTGAAAATGAAAATAATCATCTGCAGCTTTAAATATACTAAAATGCCATCAGATTTTGCATAAAACGTCTCCATATCCATACATATCACAGGCATTACTATCAGAGAAATACGATTAGCTGTAATAGATTCTGCCATACGTTCACATCTAGTCACATTAATACAACCAGGCAGCAGCCTGTCATCCACCCATTTGCCTTTCAAATTGCCACTAACTAATCCAACACACTGGGGAAGTCTGTCAGCCTCTGTTAAAGCACAGACATTTTGAACAACTGGTGATGCAAGTCTGATTTGCCTCACCATGAATTTCCTTTCCGCCTGAAGCCCCCTCGCAGTAATTGAAGGAAGAGTGAAGCCGAACAGAGAATCTCAGGGGTTGTTACTGCTGCCTTTAACAGGTCGACGCATCAGTGACATTCTTCAAGTCAAATGAAAAAATCAATCAACTGAGAACAAGAGCAATTCAAGGTGAATCAGCTCTGTTTTTACCTCCACTTTCTGTCTCTGTTGCTAGATGGACTGAAGTAAACCACCAATTTTGGGATGCAATTCAGAGTTCAAAGGCACTCTGTAAGCGTTAATGCTATCGTTCAAGCTGAAGCCTTCAAGTAAAGTTACTTAGACTTTGCTTTGTGTTCTGCAAACAAGACACACAACAGCATTCGCACTAAGGCAGTATATTGGATTCATGACTCGGGGAGGGGGGGGGAGAAATCACAGCCAGAAATTTAATTACGTGTATTGACTTTGGGTGGATAAAAAGCTCAACCAGTGTGCAGCCATGACTTATGTCCCACAGACGCACACTAATGTTGAATACTCACCAGGTACCACTGGTCTCTGAACTTGGGATCCATCGGTTCTTCGAAGACATCCCTCTTTTTCCTTCGTTTCGACACTTGTTGCTCGGCCCAAGTCACCTAAACAAGGAGAGCACAAACACAGAGATACACATGTAGACGTTAGCGATACGAACAAAAAGGCGAGGTGATGCTCAACAGAGAAAGATAATCCATCCAGAAAGGTTACTGCTCACCATCATTTAAAAAAAAGAACAGAACAAGAAATAATTATATGCTGGACACGAGGGTCGCAATGTCAAATAAATTAATAGAGATCAAAATTCTCAGCGGGGCGACAGCAGACAGATTAGAGGCACAGGGGTACCACGGACTCCTCACTAATAAGACCTGCTGATAAAGTCCAGAGCAGCCTGGGGCTAATTTAAACTTATGGATCTGTGTAAAATGAGATGCGCCAGATTCTATTATATTTATTCATGGGTACACCAACGCATGTATGCACACTAACAATATACACGCAGAGGTACAAAGTCAGTACAAGTCTAACAACCCCGCAGTCGGCAGCAGGCTTTCATGATGAGTGAGCTCCTGCAGAAAGTGTTGACAGAAGCAGAATGCATACAGTGAAAGGAAGCCTGCATCTCTCACTCCCTCTGCAGAATCATGCTCGCTGTACAGCAAGAGACGCCAGAAAAGAAGAGAAAATGTCAGAGAACGAAGACAGAAGTGCCTGCCGCAAGGACGGAGCACCTGATGTGAAGGACAACCGAATCACAGCACCTCTCTCCCCATCACTAGAGACACAAGAGTAGAAAAAAAAGAAGTAATGAAGGTCACATTAGCTGCTACGCTGAAGCGATGCCAATTCGACACTTCCATAATATAAATGCCATAATGGAATAATTTCCCTTCGAGCAGAGCGGTTTGTGTTTGAGGCCCGATCAGTCTAAGTAGAGGAGATGTTTCCACCAGGGTTCATCCAGGATTTTTACTGGGAAGATGAGGTGACCCCCGTGAGGTGCAAGGAAGGCAGTTCACACACAAAGCTATGTGACAGCTTTTTCACAATGTGGGCCCCGACACATTAAGTCAAAGTACTACTGCTGACAAACACCGATATGTCGCCAAACGTGGGAAATGGGAGATAAACGAAGATAGCCAACCATTTTCTCGTCATTGGGATCCTTACTGTATATGTGTTGCTTTGGATGAATATGTAATGTATATGTTCTGAATAAACATGAAGAATATGTCTACGAGATAGGAAACTGGCATTATTAACTTTTTGTTTGTGCCAATGTTGTCAGCCTGGGGACTTTTGCTTTTGGAAGATAAAAACTTATGTACCACATTCAAAAAATGAAGTGCCCTACTTCTGCATGTTATTCTGTAATCTCTTGCAGGTCACAGAGAAATGAACAACAGGTCAGAAGCTGTTATGAAACTTTTGTGCCCATACTGTATATATTTGCAATTCTTATTATAATGCCAAAATTGACATTTCTGTTTCTTAACTGTGATGTGCGCTGCGGCAGGTCCGATGCAGAGGACAAAACAATATTTTTTTACAATCAATATTGTTCTCGTAGCACTGAATCAAATGGTGTTAAATGAAAAATGAATGCCATCACATCGGCTACTGAATCTTATCTTCACTGAATCAATAAATATGTACATTACATTTAAAATCTTTAAAAAGGAGGGATTCAGTTCCCTTGAGTTTCACAAAGCTATTCATAAATAACATTTTTTACTACATCTAATTAGTTTGACATTTGTTGACATGCTTCTCTCAGTCAGGCTTTAATATTGGCTTTCTGTTTTAAAGCAAATGACAATATTGATTGAATGTCACTCAGACTGTAGGCCAAACACTGTATGCAGGGAATAAACTCAGCATCATTACACTAGTCTGAGTGATCTCCAGTCAGACAGAAACAAGCTATTTTCTCTTGCGTCATAAGGCGGGGTGTGTGAGTTCCCCTCTTCCATTTCCTCATCTTCTTTTCAATCGCACATTTAATCCTGTGTGAAACCGCCCTTGTTTTCTCACATACGTAGGTCGGATCTCTGCTGTGATAAATGTCCATGATGACGTCATTCAAACATGACAGGATTGTAAAAAAAACTAAAAAAAAACAGACGCAATCTTTGCGCAATATTTGTTATCTGGGGCCTCGCAGGAAGTTATGTTTAATGTACATGGCAACAGACTGTTTACTGCACCGTGTGTAACTTGCACTGCCTCAAATACGCCCATTAAACCATTTCATTATCATTGCAAAGCATGATGTAAGCTGTTAATTCCCTTTGGTATGGTTTTGCATATAAACAAAACCATCATATGCAAGTCATTTTTACTTTGTAATCTTATGCATGCCTTTCCCGACAACGTGACCTCTTCTATTCACACTTAAGCCGAGTAAGGAATGTAGACAAATGCTTCTCGGTCTAACAGGACGGACGGGCCCAACATTACTGGTTACAGCATGCGCTTAAAATTCAATGCAAAACACTTGAATCGTCTCTTAAGGGTCTTGTTATTACTTGATAATAAAAAAAACTATTATCTGGTGAAAGAAACATTTACAGCAGCTCCAACACTGTACATCTTCATCAAGACAAGGTAATACCATGACTGCTCAATCAAAGCCCATATCCTTCCAGCAGACATGCAGATGAGCTTCAGTACAGTAACTACAGTGTCTGCTCGTTTCCGCTGCAGACGCGTCAGCGACACCGGTTATTTGCCACTAATGGGTGCAGCCAGTCGTCTTAATGTCACACACTGTTCTTGGAAATGTCCATCCGAACACAGCCAGACATGACTTTGCTTTCGTCCTCGTCATGAGGAAATGATGCCACAGATTAGTGGCTTGGGTGTGTTCACAAACACACAATGGGGATACTGAATCAGTAAATTCTGGGGGGAAAAAAACAAAAATATTCCTGAAAGCTGCATACTGGCACAGCAATTACCTTCATTTTAGTACTTTCAGTTCCATTTGTGGGAAGAAAACATCATTACAGTGCACATTAAGCACTGGTGATTTGTAAGAGTTACCAGATTACATTTCCCTGACAGCACCCTCACATTACTTACCAATACTTTTAATATAGCATGCTATTCTATAATACAAACTATTTGAATATCAAACTGAAGTAAACAATACAAGTCATATTTTTCAGCTCCAATCTCCCATTTCATACAGAGTAGATTTCCTACTTTTGACAGGACTGGAACAACAACAAACATTTCGATTTTGCAGTTTTCATGTGAAAAGTCTTCAATAGTCAGAACACAGAGCCCAGAAGATGACAAACAGAGCGTTTCATTATAAACGGGCTTTGGAAATGGAAAACGGTCCAGACTGATCCATGTTCACAAACAGACTGCTGCTCGCTTCATGTCCAGGTGGAGAATCGTAATCTGTCCAACAACTTGATTTCCCACTCTGCTTATTTTGTCCCACCCACTTCTTTGTCCTTCTTCATTATACAAACATTCGCATCTTCCCTCTGAGGCCAAATGGAAGCCGCTAACAGAGCATCATTACAATAAAGGGACACAATATCAACTATAGTACGCATCAGTGGTTGGCTATGTCATTCATGTTTATACTCAAGGCTTTTTGATGTAACTGCTACTCTTCTCGCAATAGTAATGAAACAAGCAGTCAAACAAATGACAAATGAATGTTCTGAGCACCTCATTGCTTTACTACATCAGTCTAATTCCTTCTCTTCTTTTCAACTAACCAAAGAAAGGCACTGAAGCAAAGCACACTGCCCACAACAACAACAACAACAACAACAACAACAACAACAGAATGAAAGAGAAAACAGCAGAGGGCACAGAGGTAGAAGATAGACCCGAGCTTTAAATCTTCAATGGAGCCTATTAACTGGGTTCTGTTAGCCCGTCTATGAGATCTGGCAGAAGTCCAGGTGTTTTTGTCAGTAATGAGACACTCTTCAAAGAGACTCCACCAAGTCTTTTGTCCAGGCTTCATCTCAACCAGTTTAAAAGCTGCGGGATCTCTGTGGAATAAAAAGAATCCTCCCATTAAAAATATCTTTTTTTCATGTTTTTCATTTTCCAAAAAAACTGAGCAGCTGATGCAAATGTGAATAAAATCTGCAATGATGTGCAGGTCAATGCATGCTTTGATCAGACTATTAATTGCAGCACAGTAACAGAAATGTATCGATGTTTAGATCCTAGAGAGTCTATACATAAGGATTGCACGCTATTGCAGCATTTGCAAAGCTCTCTTCGTGAATAAACAAACAAACAGATAACACAAAATCTTGTGAATTCCTGTGTGTGCTGGCAAACTGACCCGACCCTCCTGCACATACAGGAAGACCCGGAGCTGTAATGCTCCACTTTCTCTGAGGTGCTGGGGGGGAAAAAAGGATTTCAAAAACAGGAAATGGAGCCTGTTCAAGGAAATCCCAAAGAGGGCGGTGGACCATTTGTAACATGGACTCAAATAAACCCAGCAGAAGTTCTTCTATTCCCAGTGTGCACCTGCACAGCACGGCCAATGATAGCTTAAGGCAGGTTTCATTAACTTTCTTTATGGCTGTAGATTAGTTTTTACGTGCAAGATGTTACGTGTTACGTGCAAGATGCTTCTGCAGATGTATATATATTTATATGGACTTATATCTAAATCCCTAGAATTTTCCTTGAAATTCACTGCTTAACTGAAATGAGGCGGACACAATTCAGATATAAACATTTTCATATCATTTCCAGAGATTACAGAGACAGAAAAGGCAGAGACCTTCTAATGAGAAGGCAGAGAAATGGTGCAAACAGTGCAAAACATTTTCTCCCAATCCTCACAGTACTGGAAGACCTCATCATTAGGTGGAGGAGAAAATATAACACAAGAATCAACTCGGACCAGTGAGGAAGCAAAGGACCCTACGCCGACTGGAGCGGAGGAGCCTGAGCCGGTCTGCTGCATCAGAGCTGGAGTCAATTGATCACCATTGGCTATATAAAGCCGGAGCCATTTCAGATTCATTGTTCACTGTAACACATTGAGCGCGGGGCACGCCCTGCTGCACTCTGTTAAACGTTCTCCTGATGCACAGCGTCGTCAGCCAGTGAACCACGGAGGAGCACAAACAAATAAATAGCAGCCAGCAGTTCCAATTAATACTTTTCATATCAACAGCGAGTGTCAGTGAACAATGCAAGGAAGGCTGCTGTTTTTTTTTAGTGACTGTTTTGTCTTTGTTTCAGCGACATTTAACAGCTCTTCAGCAGTTTTGAAGTGCAGCTGACAACTGAAACTTACATGTAAACTTTTGAGTTTACCGAGGACGCAGAGAGGCTGAAACCAAACCCTCCAACGATAGACTCCCTTATCCACAGACGATACGGAAAACAGCAAGGGAAACATTTTAAGAGTTTAAAGTTGATAATTTAAGTAATATTTACGTAAAACATCCAAATATTTTTTGTTTAATTTTTTCTTAAACATGCAGCTTTTCCTTGTCTTTACATTACTATGAATTACATTTTCGTTTGTTGGATTAAAACAAGACATTAGATGACATTACTTTTACTTTAGATTTACATTACGTTGAGCTTGTGATGGTATTTTCTAAATGCTTTCGAACGTTATAGGGCCGACGATTAAACCACTTATCGACAGATTAATTGATTATGAAAAGAACTGGTAGCTGCAGTCCTACAAGTTCTTTTTTTTCCTTTTATTTAAAAAAAAAAGCTTACTACTATAACACTAGAATATATAATATAATTACTAATAGTAATGGGTGAATACATAGCTACAATGTTCAACATTGATATCATGAGTTAAGAACAAGAAGTTTAGTAACTGGTTTCTGGGTTGCATATGGACTCACAGTATTTAGGGTTCATAAATAATGAAAGGTCAAAGGTCCAAAGCTACTACATTATCTGCTTAAAAGATATATTCAGGTTTTTGCAGGTCTTTCTCACTTTTTAAGTCACACAGTGAGCTCAAGCACCTTACTGCATAAGATACACAGTAAATATTTCACATGATTACACTGACACCAAACAACAGCTAGTAACTATAAGATAACATCAAAAGAAAAAGTCTTGACAAGCATTAAAACATGTGAAACTCACTCAGGAGATAGGATAAACTATGTGTTTACAGGTCAAATGCTGAATAAATACAAGCACTCCAAATAATTCACTAACATTTTCCTCCCAAATTGCAAGAAAGGAGCTCGGACCGTGTTATCCGTTGCTGCACTAATGGTGACACCACAACCACCACTCATGGATGACACCACAAATGGAGAAACTGTGCCCACACTTCCTCCACAGCATACTCCGAATTATCAATAAACCTCATGAACACACACACACACACACACACACACACACACACACACACACACACA